TCCAGCATGATGGATGTGCACCACTCTTCTTGGACTTGCGCTCGGCTGCTCTCAAGTCGGAGCGCCATCGCATCCAACGCTCTTTCGCCGCAGGGGAGATAAGTGCATCATGAGGCAGGATCGGCATACCCATCTCGACAGCGAAGTCAGTGGCGCCCTGAGATACCAGAAGGTTTGGAGGCACTCGGCGCAACGTTAGCGGACTCATGGTATGGTCGTGAACCATTCGTGCTAGGGATATAGGATTCTTGATTTCTGGCGATCATCATCAGTACTAAGCCACAGCTTTGGTCGTTAAACGCTTACGAGCTACAGCCCCGACAGCTCCACTACGCCCAAAATGGTCGACCACGGAAGCATCGCACTCGACGACACCATCCATGGCTAAGTTGCTGCCGTATCCTGCATTGGTGATTTCTCGGTCTTCTAAAGTCTTAACGGCGGCCTCGACAGCATCGAGGGCTGAGCCGCCGTTCTTCAGAATTAACATGGCTAACTGTGCAGCACTACGCATATCAGCACGAGCTAACTTTGCGACATCGTTTGGGACGCATCGGAGCACTCACTCATTGCATGCTTCGAGATGAATCCTCTCATTCTGGTGGCTATGGTAGCCTGCGCCAGCATGAACATATATGCAGCACACATCATCATTCGGCGGACTACGCGAGGCTTTGCGTGTGTGTGTATCAACATGACAGGCTCCGTCTATGGGTGCATAGTGCCGACCTGGAACCGACATGCCTTTGTGTGTGGTGAAGTGTCGGCGAAAGTCACGGAAGTGCAGACTGAACGTATCCAGTGCAACACGGTGAGAGATGATGCCGCTCGGATGAGTCTTGGTTGTAGTTCGGGGCTTGACTCAGCACACAATGAGGGTCTGTTGTTGGCACAGAGAACTTTTGGCGATTAGTGAAATGGTCCGGTGTCGCTCCGAAGTGGGCGGTAGTGGTAGGATGTTGTGGATCTGACTGTAAAGACGGTCGTTAAACGGACACTCGAAACGCAGGGAGATGTAGGGTCGACAGTGAAAACAGGTAATTTCAGGAGAGGCGAGGGTGACTGAGGAAGAAAAGAAGAATGCGGAATTAATGAAGAGGTTGAGCCGATGTAAAGGCGAAGATGTCCTCTGGCGGCGGTGTGAGCAATGAGAGTGGGAGAGAAGCTCGATGAGCGCTGTAGGATCACAGTCAGTGGAGGAAAGGTTAGCAGCGATGTCAGAGGTGCGATGACGATGGCTCTCTCGTTTGTACCTGCCCAAGGCATGCGATTGCAATGTTAGGCTTACGATTCAAAATTTGTTGGTGCAGCAGGCACACTAGATTGAGGAAGCAGGAGCGACTGTGTTTACGTGTTGAAGAGGACTGCAGTCTTCCCCCGCCATGTGTCCTGCGCCAAGGGCGGAGCGGGGCGGTGCCTGATTCGACTACATGCACCGACCTCCGCCATCACCGCTCTGACGAAGCCACCTCGACACCCAACCCACGCGCCTTCGCTCTCATATCAGGGATCACCTGAGCTGCTTTGTATATTGATTTTTACGCCAAGCAGCAGCAATCATGGCGTCCCAAACCCCCGCCGTTGTCATGGACAAGTAAGCTAACAGCTGCCGATGGGCACCCACGTTGCGATTGAGTACTGACACTGGCTGCAGCGGTACGGGATACTCGAAGCTCGGTACGCTGAACGACTCAATTCGATGCATCAGCTCTTAATAACAACGCACCAGGTTTCGCCGGCAACGACTCCCCCTCCTTCGTCTTTCCCACTGCGATAGCTACCAAAGGTCCAACAGGCGGTAGCGGCGGATCAGGCTCTGGACGTCCAGCCGTTGCGAACAAGCCCTCATACCTGACTGGTGGAGCTGGGCCCGGTGGTCATCTGTCTGGAAAGCGCGGCACCGAGGACCTCGACTTCTTCATCGGCGACGAAGCTCTGGCCGCAGCTGGAGGCGCTGGCTATGGCATCAACTACCCGATCAGGCATGGTCAGATAGACAACTGGGTATGGAGAAGCCTGCAGATGGACACGAGGGTATACTGATGGCATGCAGGACCTTATGGAACGCTTCTGGTCCAACTCGATATTCAAGTACCTGAGAGTGGAGCCCGAGGACCACCACTTCCTCCTCACCGAGCCCGTACGCTGTGCTTCTACCACGATTAGAAAGACGACACTGACAGCCCATAGCCACTGAACCCCCCAGAGAACCGCGAGGCTACTGCCGAAATCATGTTCGAGTCCTTCAACGTTGCTGGTCTCTACATCGCCGTACAAGCTGTGCTCGCTTTGGCCGCGTCATGGACCAGCTCCAAGGTACAGGACCGATCCCTCACCGGTACTGTCATCGACTCAGGTGCTGGTGTCACTCACGTTATTCCCGTCGCTGAAGGTTACGTCATTGGCTCCTCCATCAAGAGTGTCCCCATCGCTGGTCGCGACATTACCAACTTCGTACAATCGCTGCTCCGAGAACGCGGCGAGCCCGACTCCTCCCTTCAGACTGCCGAGCGCATCAAGGAGGAATACTGCTACGTGTGTCCCGATATCGTCAAGGAGTTCGCACGCTTCGACCGCGAGTCAGACGACCGATTCAAGAAGCACACCGTCAACTACCCCAACGGCAAGACCACAACCGTCGACGTCGGCTACGAACGTTTCCTTGCGCCAGAGATCTTCTTCAACCCCGAGATCTACTCGTCCGATTTCCTTACCCCGCTCCCCACCATTGTCGACACCGTCATCCAATCCTCCCCCATCGATGTACGCAGAGGGCTCTACAAGAACATTGTGCTATCAGGTGGTTCAACACTATACAAGGACTTTGGTCGACGCCTGCAGCGTGACATCAGGCACATGGTTGACGCGAGGATCAAGGCATCAGAGGCGCGAAGCGGAGGTGCAAAGAGTGGTGGTCTGGACGTACAAGTCATTACGCATAAGAGACAAAGACACGGCCCGTGGTTCGGAGGTAGCTTGCTCGGTCAGACACCCGAGTTCAAGAGTTACTGCCACACCAAGGCCGAGTACGATGAGATTGGTCCCAGCATTGTCCGAAGGTTCGCGCTGCTGGGTGGGCCTGGAAGCACGTAGACGACGAGATAAATATCGTAAGAAACGTGCGCAAATGTTGGCATGGCTTTGAGCGAGCATGAGATGTACAGCAAAAATCTTTGACAATGAAAATACTCTCAACAAACTCGTGGAATCAATGTGCTCACCACCATTCACTAACCATACAATGAGGAATCTCCGTCATCATTCTCACGCCTCTCCACTCTGCGCAGCATTCTCCTTCCTCCTCAACACAGCCACACCCTCCACATGCCCCGTCTGCGGGAAAAAGTCAAACCCCCTCAAACTCTCAATCTCATAACACCCCTCGCCTTTCCCAAACCCGCCATCAACACCCGTCATCCCGCCTACTAGCACGCCCACATCCCTCGCCTGAGTATGCACATTACAACTCACATACACCACTCTTGCGGGTCCATACTGCACCAGCTGCCGCAAGAAGGATTCATCGCAGCCTTTCCTGGGTGGATCTAGCATGACGACCGTTTCGTCGGCGGGAGACTCGATGGAAGCGAAGAGACGGGCGGCGTCAGCGGCGATGAAGCGTGTAGAGGATTCTGGAAGGTTGTTCAAGCGCGCGTTTGTAGATGCGGAGGTTATGCTAGCAGGAGATATGTCGATGCCGAGGGAGGACTTGAAGAGGGAAGAGAGGGTGATGGTGAAGAGGCCGGAACCGGAGTATGCGTCGATCAGGTGGGTGATTTTATGATTGGGCGCTGATGTAGAGGAGGGTAGGATATTCTCGCGTATGTATTGTGTGAAGACAGGGAGGATGGAGTTGTTGTTCTGGAAAAAGGAACCAGCTGGGTTGACAAACTGGAAGTCGGAGATGTACTCTGTAGACTTGGCGTTGGGATCTGTTATACATGTTTTGCGGTGGATGTGCTCGCCTCTGTCTTCGATTACAGCATCTGAGTCTGTTTCTTTCGTGACATCATATTCATTCTTAGGAATACGCTTTGTGTCTTCACGCAGCAGAAGCGTAGCGCCTTTGTGGTAGGTGGATATGGTGTCTGCGACGCGTTTTCGCTCTCGCTTGTTGCCTGCGCGGACGGCGTCTGTGCCAATGGGACAGTCTTCTATGTCAATTGTTGTACGTGTTCCTTTTTTCATGAAGCCAATGGGGGGTATTTCTTTAAATGTTCGCTTGATGCCATTTCGACCGTCACTTCGACGGGCGTCTGGAGGGCCGTCGAAATGAGGGGTTAGTTTTGTGCGGTAGCCGTACTGCAGTGGTGAACCAATTGTGTCGCCGATGGTAGGAATGAGCTCGGGTGGGAGGTTGGAGAAGTTCTTGTATGCCTTTTCGACAATGGTCTTTTTGTGTTGAAGTTGGAAGTCGTAGGGTAGCATTTGGAACTGACAGCCTGAGCAACTGGCGAAGTAGGGACATTTTACAAGAGAGTCATTGCGGTGATTTGAAGGCGTGATGACATTGACGAAGTCGGCCATGGAGTACTTTTCTTTCTCAAAGTGTTTGTGCGGTCGTGCTGTCACAATGTCTCCAGGTGCGCTAAAAGGCACGACATAGACCTGGTCCAAGTCCGAGTTTTGCTGGAAACCTAGGCCATCACCAGTAGAAGATATCTCCTTGATCTCAACTGTGATCTCTTTGAACTTCTCTGGCAGTACTGTCGAGCCTTCCTTTCCTTCTCTTTGAAAAGTAAGATTTTTGATGAGCGCAGTAACATCCTGCAATAAAACTTCCTCATTGGTGCCGTTCGTTTTCAAGATTTTACTCTGCTCAGCATGACCGTTCTTCATGCGCTTGTTCTTGAACCTGTAATTGCCTCGTGGTCCTTCCTCGCTCCGTAAAGGTGTCTCTGCATATCTTTTTGCGCCGTTGCTTTCAATAGGCGCAACATTGTCGGCGGACGAAGCCATATTGTACCTAGCAGTTTGAGAATAGCGGCTACTGGCCAGCAGTGTCCGAAGCGGTCGAGTAAAGATCCGAGAGTACATGCAGCGTACGTGGAATGGAGAAAAGAGAAAGTTGAGTTAGTCACGGGGATGGGAAGGCGGCGATTGGCTGGAGCGATTACTGCCATCCCGCTTAGTCACCTTTGAACTTTCCGAACTTCACTTTGACCATCACGCCGCCGCGCAGGCCACCCGCTATTACCGCCCCCCACGCTCAATTGGCCCTCAGTCGGAGGTTGAAGGGCAAAAATGAGCGTCTGCCGCCCCGCAAGATGTCTCTTCACCAAAGCAGCATCGACGACTCTTCCTAAACCACCTCCGCAACGCACTTTCCATGCTTCCGCACCCAGACAAGCCCGCAAGAAGAGACCACATTACCCGTCAATAAAAGCCGACGACCTCAAGCTCCTCAACCAAGCGGCGGAAGCAGAATACCCAAAGTACGATACCGCAGAGACGACGCTCCTTGAGAAAAAATACACCCCCTCGCAAATCGCCGCCATCAAAGCCGCAGAGTCTACAATCGACGCACGAGATGTCCTCACACAGGGCCAGCGAAGAACAGACCCATGGCGTCTCAACTACGAAGACGACCTCGCGCAGGTAGACCCAGTAACAGACCGACCTGAGCGTCTGACCGGCGACGACATTGAAGGCTCCAAAACCTTCCGCATCGCCAACGAAGTCGAGCGCGACCAAAACATAACCCGGTTAGCAACGGAAAACCTCGCCAAAATGTATCCCAACGGCATACCAGAAGGCGAAACCGACGAGGCTTTGCAAAACGCTATGGATGCAGCCGTCACGCAAGCCACGCTGGACCCACGTGCAACCTATACATCGAAGAACCCCGCCGCTTTGCAAGCCTTGGGAGACGAGCGCCACTCCGTCATCGCACCCGACCTCCCCCGTGTCGAAAGCCGCATGGCCCGCCAAACACGCCGCCTCAAGACCGAAGAGGAAGAGGACCCCCGGCAAAAACGCCTCCTGCAATACCTAGGCTGGGACAAGCAAAAATTGCGCCAGATCCGTGTCAAGACTTTGGTTGTCCACGGCGTCACGAACCAGACACGTATGGGCAAGATAAGAAGTCTGTACTACCTTACCATAGCGGGAAACCAAGATGGTCTATTAGGTGTCGGCGAGGGTAAATCCGTAGAACCAGAAGAAGGACGCAAGCAGAGTGTCATGAGCGCGATACGAAACATGCGTCCAGTTCCACGCTACGAGAACAGGACGACATTTGGAGATTTGGAGACGAAAGTGGGCGCTACTCGCGTCCAGCTCTTTTCCAGACCACCAGGTAAGATGAAACCTCCTCATGCTACCCATCACTCCAGTAAACTCTCCGGTTGCAATGCTAACTCGAATGCTCATAGGTTTCGGTCTCCGCGTCCAACATCTCATCTTCGAGCTCGCACGTGCAGCCGGCCTCCAAGACTTGTCTGCAAAAACCCCTCGTTCGAGGAACAAAATGAACGTGATCAAGGCGACATGGGAGGCGCTTACAAGTCAGAAGTTACCAGACGAGATTGCGAGGGCGAGAGGTAAGAAGTTGGTAGATGTTAGGAAGGTCTACTATGGTGGATCTATTCACTAGAATTCAATGCAGCAGAGTTGGATTCTGTGACTAGTTGTTTTGTTAGATATGGACAGGGTATGACTGAGATGTATCATATGCATGGTATGAAGTTGGGTGGAAAGGCTCATAGAGAGCTTGTGTAGATATCTTGTATCATATCACGTCATCTTGCATGTGTCCATGTCTGCTTGATGCGCGAACGCTCTCTATTCTCTCTTACTGTCTTACTCTCTAGTGGGGTATCATAGTCTCAGACTCTTTTATGCTAACGTTGTTTGAACGCAACATGCTCACTCCGACATTATGTCATATCCATCTATTCGTTTATCGTCCATGCCACTTCTCTCTTCCTTCTTCAGTCTCTTAACTCAGTGTTGTCATCACCAGCGTTACTGCCCCCCTCGGTGTCAATCTGCTGATTCAACACAATACTGTAAACACTAGCTTTCAACAGCGTAAACACCAAACTAGTTTTCCGCTCCAGGCCGCGCAGTCCGTCCAGTATAGCAGCGCTGGGGTTGTTCGACAGGTCTAGCAGGAGGGAGGAGAGCTACTCTGAGCGTTAGTGAGAATCAGAGGAAACGACTGACACGACTTAGCATCTTTAGTCGGTGGAAAAGGCAAAGACGAACAGTATTTAAGTTTCCCAACAACCGCGCATATTCATCCAAGACTTCTTGTTCGAGCGGCGTGAGAGTCTCCTCCCCGTCCGACATCTGGCTTGCTCCAAAGTTCTGCTCTCCTGCTGCTGCTGCTTCCGAAGCCATGGTTCTTCTGTACTCTTTGTGTCTTGTTCACAGATTCGATCGGGAGTTGTTTCGTTGACGCGCTTGTACGTGGGGAATCGGGGATCGCGTAGTCTGTAGTCGATGGAAGAGCGGCGGCGGCGGGGTGAGGTGACCTCGAGACTTTGTTGAATGCGTTTTCGTTTGTGCGCACAAGAGACAAAAGTACGCAGTACTGCCCTACTTGTTTATAGTAATTAATTTGTGGCTAGGTCTCGCGAGTTCTCACAGTCGGTAAGTAGGTTGAAGCGCAGCAACTGTTGTTGCCATCGCGTTGTTTACAATAAGCAAGAGGTCGTCGCGTCTTCCCCGCAAAATCCGCCTTACTTAATGCGCTTCTCACTCTAAACTTATTTTATGTCAGAACGCAGCCCTGCAACACTACGCTATGCAACCAAAAAGATGCGTACAATCAGTGAACTACTGAGATATGGTGCAGGGTAGTGTACATTGTCAGCCAGGCCTGACAGCACATACCTACTTCAATGTAAGTACAAAGTGAATAAGTTATCAAAGCTCATATCATGTAATTTTTCAGTTATTGATTTAGTTGTTTTTAAGAAAAAGACAGATCATGAAAGATCTACTCAGAACGTGTGGATGTAATTCTTTTTAAATCCTAATTGCTCTAGAATCCCAGGCGTGTTTCGTTTGCCTACTAAAAACATCTCCATACTTGGAGGCCCACATACGAAAACATGGTTCTCTTGGTCTCTGTGAGGTAATATGATTTCCAAAAATTCCTTGTCGATGTGTCCCTGACGAGTGGTTGAGCCTTCTATCAGGTGGCTAACAGTGTAGAAGGCTTTCACACGGGCAGGGTAATCTTTCGCGACCTGGTCCAACTCCGACTTGAGTAGCAGACCATCGTTATCTTTACTGCCTAGGATAAGAGTGGTAGACGTCTTATCCTCTGGGTTCCGCAGGATGCCTTGCATCAATTGGAACACAGGGGTTATACCCGAGCCACCGGCAATCAAAATGACATGTGAAGTCAAGTTAGGCTTCCAAGAAAACCCCGGAATTGCCGCTACCACAAAGAGTTTCTCACCTACAGCTAAAGAATGTAAGTGTGTGCTTTGTTTCCCGCCTGGATAGCGCTTGACCAGTAAATCGACAACACCGGGATTATCTTCCAGGATCAGCATATAGAGTGGAGTTGCATGCGGTACTACAAACCTGGAGAGGTGATGGGAGTGTATGGTCGTATGACTGGCAGCCAGCAACTTTTCGGTAATGATGCAACCAACAGGGAAGCTGTATGAAAGTTAGCAAGCCCATAAGATGAACCAGAATATTACTTCGGCTTACAGGTCAAAGCAAGCCCACTAGATACTTGTTGACTTGGTAATGCAAAGCGAAGGCGCTTCGTGTCACGATTGACCACCTCGCTTGCTGCGAGAGTTAACCAAGTGAAGGCAGGTGCATTAGAACCGCTAGAGAAATTCCGAGCCCTTATCTTGGATGCAACGGCTAGGCCAACGCCGCTGGCAGCAAGAAGAGTTATGACAGAAGTGGTGCTGGCTCGTCGGATCACCATTGGAAAAGCCATACTGAACCATTGAACGCATGGATGTAAAGTAGAACGACAAAGATTCTATTCGGGAAACGAGCGGACAGAAGCCTATATACTGTAAAGAACATATTCGAGACAGTATGCGTCAACACACACACACAACAGAAGGGCTAAATTCAATACAGCAAAGTGCTCATGTTTCGTAGTGAGCGCAGCTCGTATGTGGCAGGACTTCGAATAAAAGTTCATCCAGCGGATCTTACCAGGGGCGGTATCTTCCAGTTCTAGGGCCCTTCAGTCCTCCGACTCTCCGACTCTCGGGCTTTCCGGACCTCTGGCTCTCCGAATCTTCATCTTTCTGAACCTCTAATTCTTCAATTCTCTATCCATACCGTGCGTGATACTTAGAACGGTTAAATCAGGGCTTTAGTGCTACGTTACGTTACAGAACTTAAATTTTCTCATCAATAGTGGCCCAACAACCTGCATACTAAGAATAGCTAGACCTCGATTTCAACACGCAATAGCTCTACTACTCTACTCCCGTACGAACATGTAGCTTGTGTTACGCATGGGCATAATAACGATACGGTTACGGTAGTGGGTCGGACTATATAAGTGCCGATGGATAAGCTTGTTGATTTTCAAAGAACCTTTCCAAGTTTTTAACACAATTGTCTTCATCTTCTCTCCCAGTGAACATGAATTTACTAGATCAGTCTCTCAACCGCCAAGTGTCTAAGGGGGCCTTAGTCGTGCAAGCAGTCGGGATCACAGCGAGCGCGTACCTCTTCGGTCAGTCGAAAATATTCTTTATTCTTGGGAAATTGCGCCTTTTAGGCTTTAGCATATCCACTCTCGCTCGTAGCAAAGTTGACATGCGTTCATTCAGGGCAAAATGCAGCCATCTCCTTAGTCGCTCTTCCCGCGGTTATGCAGGCTCCGGCTTCTCTTGCCATAGAACAATGGCACACCATCTACAACATCGGCCACTACTTTGCTCCGCTCGCCATTCTGGGTGCTCTTGCAACTGGCTACACTGCGTACTACCGTATGTATACACTTCCGATTTATCTCTGTGCTTCGTTCTGCTGTCTATCGTTCAGAATCACTAAAAAAGACGATAGAGAATCCTAGCTCCACCCCTTTCAAGTTCAACCTCGCCGCGATTGAACCTAGCTCGTGCAGCTCTCGTTGGCGCTGGTGTCTTTTGCGCCGTTTGGGCCGCTATAGACAAATAACAGGGAAGCTCCGCATATTATAAGAACTGACAAGGTTCGTTAGTGTAATGTGCTGTGTAGCCTGCTTGCCAAACCCTTAACAATATCTTAGATACATGCCTAAGCGCTTTATTTGTGATTATGCACAAGCGTACGCAGGTATATTTTATAGTAAAGCTCTACTAATTGGAGCTCAACATAAAATATAGGCATACTAGGGATTATAAGAGGCTACGCCTAAGTACTGCAAGAGGCTACACTAAAGCACTTCATACCTATCTATCTTTATTAGCGTACAGAGAATAAATACAGCATAAAAAGAATGTTACTCTTCTTCTTCTTCTTCTTCTTCTTCTTCTTCTTCTTCTTCCGTGTATAGGAGTGAACGCATACTTGTTAGCACGCTTCGTACATCAAAGAAAGTAGTAGATTAACAATTTAATAAGCTAGTTTCTAGGCCCCCTCCTCCTTGTCCATCCCAACTTGCCAAATCATCCCAAACATACATAAGGAACTATATAACCAAGGAGAAATGTTGTATACAATCTGGTGTAAAGTGCGAAAATACGGTCTTGCGGGGGTATATATTCCAATCCAAAAGACAGAACGCGAGCAAAGCAGCAAGCATTAGGTACCAAGGTGAAGACACCAACCAAAAGAGAAAGAACCAGGACGTAGTCAAAGACAGGAACGCTCATACGAGCTAAGATAAAACAAAAAGGAAATGGTTAACAAAGGAAAAGGTTTTCAGTTTCGATACGGCAGAGAATTCTACCGTTGCAATTCCCTCCCAAAGTTCAACGCCAAAGGCGTCAATTCACCATCAACAGTACTCTCATCATCGTAGAAACCACTTTCACTGAACGGTTCCATTTCAGCATCTTGGTCGTACGCCTGCTTCCTCATCAGAGGGGGTGTACGCGGCTGCTTGCCGAGCGCTGGGAACCCTACTTCGGTTGACGCACGGGAGCTATTGGAATTTGAGCGCATGACTGCAGGACGCTGCTGCGATGAAGAAGCAGTTGAGAGCTCGGATCCACGGCGCGCGTTGGAGGTTGGCGGAGTCATAAGGCCCGAGAGGAAGGATTGTGCAGAGTGGGGTTGCGCGCGCGAAGGCGTCTGGGTACGTGCGGTAGGCTTAGTGGAGGAGTTGCCTGCGAGAGCAGACGTAGCTTCGCCGCGGCCCTTGCGCCAATTGCCGATAGCGGCAGCGAGCTGGACTGCTTTAGGTGACGCAAAGTTGGAGAGGGAGCTCAGGGTGGGGAAAGATTGTTGCCCGCCTGAAATGAGACGTTCCTTCTCGGATTGCTCCATCTGCAAGTTTGTGCGGATGCGGATTGCGGCGTCGCGGACGGTCTCGCGGTCGAAGGTTGGTTGAGCAAGAGAGTTGATGAGGTCATTCAGGTCATCGACGCGTACGCCAAGTAGCTCACGGAGCCAGTTGATCTCGGTGTCGCGCTCCTTCAATTTAGCAGGAGCCTCAGTGTCAACTTCTTCAAGCTGACGCTCAAGAGACTCGATACGTCCCTCCCGCTCTTGTAGCTGCTCCTGGAGAACACCGATAGACTCGCGCAACGCCTGAGCTCCTGCGCCGCCACCGAACGAAGAAGTCGTAGGAGACTTGGCTGCTGCTGCGGCAGCGGCACTGGCGGCTTCCTTCGCGACCTGGAGCTTCTCTTCCAGCAACGCAATCTTGTCCTTGAAGTGGTCGAGCTTGGAGTCGGCCAATGCAAGCTTGTCGTTGTGGAAAGCCTCGGCACGCTCCTTGTCTTCACGGGCAAATTCGAGAGCGCGAGCATGCTCGTGCTTGATGTGCTCAAGTTGACGCTCAAAAGTGCGCTGCTGCTCATGCAGACTGTGCCTGTTGTTCTCCACTGCTTCTTGCACAGCTTGCTTCTTGAGGTCCGAAGCCGCCTCCAAATCCAGCTCGTGCTTCTCCTTGGCAGTATCAGCATCCAAGCGAACCTGGTCCAGTTCGGCGCGGACACGGGCGATCTCGCTCTCAAGCTCGTGGCGAACAATGTTGACCTGGTTGTTAGCTGCATCAACATCGGCCTCCATGAGCACGCGGGTGCGGCGGATCTCAACGTGCGCAGCATCCCTGGCCTCTCGCATGTCACGCTCGTAGCGTTGGGCGTTCCTCTGGTGCTCCATAGACTCCTTCCTCAGCTCTTCGATTGTCTCCTCAAGTTTGGCGTTGTGCTTCTGAGTTTGCTCGAGATGGATCCTGAGTCTCATACCTTCACGCTCCTGGGTTTCCAAGCGCTCAAGCTCCCTCTCCAGACGCTCCCGTGTGCGACCCTCAGCTTCGATGCGTGCGCTGAGAACCTCGTACTTTGTCGCAGACGCCTCTTCATGCTTCTGGAATTGAGCACGCTCAGACGCGACCTGCTGCGAAGCGGCAACCATGTCTTGTTGAAGCTTCTCAAGCTTGGTACGCATAGATTCTCGTACACGAGTAGCCTCCTCGGCCTGGAAGCGGGCCTCTCCAATAGCCTTGCGTAGCTTTTCTCCTTCTTCATGAGCGTCCTGGAGGTCGCCTCGCCACTTGTTGGCAGAGAGACGATGTTCCTCAAGCGTGAACGTAAGCGCCTCATTCTCTGCCGTGACTGAATCGAGTCTCTTCTTGAGGTCCTCCTCCGAGCTCTCCAATGCAATGTTTGTGAGCTTGAGCTGCTCGTTCTCGATGTCGAAAGCAGACAACTTGTCGCGCATTTCAGCTGCATCGGCCTGGTAAGATTCGAGGCTGCGACGAAGAACGTCTCGCTCCTCAGTCAAAGTACCAATCTTATGCTCGTCGTCCTTGGCAGCCTGTTGAAGAAGTGTAAGCTCTTCCTCTGTAACCTTGAGCAGACGTGCAGAGTCTGCTTCTCGGGCCTCGATAGCTTGGCGGGCTTCAGCTTCAGCGTTGAATCGGAGGGTGGCTTCCTTGAGCATTTCCTCAAGGTCTGTGATACGAGCATCCCTCTCCTGAACAGCTTTGGATTCCTCACGTTGGGCGACCTCCATACCGTGACGGCTCAAGGCATCGTCAACAAGCTCACGCACATCTTCAGCCTGGAGATGGTGACTGGTAGTCTGCGCGATTGAGGCCTTGAGACTACCGATGATTTGGTAGAGCTCGGACATATCAAGCTGTGGCTGTGGAATATCGACAGGAGCCTCAAGAGTAGCAGGCTTCTGGTTCGCCAAAGCCTCAGCAACGATAGATCGGATCATGTCTGGCTGTACATTGTCGGCAGTTGGCGCGGCAGGCGCTTGAGGCTGGTGAGATGCGAACGCCTCGGCGACGATGGAACGAATGTTCTCCGCTTGCACTTGTTCCAAGGCTGGCTGGTGTGATGCGAGAGCTTCGGTAACGATGGCTTTCAGGTCGTCAGGCCAGATTTGCTCAGGTACTGGTGGCATCGGTTGAGGAGCATGCGTCTCGAACGCCTCCAACACAATGGATCGGATATCATCAGTCTTGACTGGCTCCACTGGCTGAGGAACATGAGTTGCGAGCATGTCAGAAAGAATAGAGCGGATGTCTTCAGGTTTGAGAGGCTCAGCGACCTGTTCCTGCGCAGGCTTGGCGGAAGCAATCGCGTCTTGAACAATAGCGCGAATCTGATCAGCAGGAACAGGTTCAGCAGGTTGCACAGATGGCTGGTGTTGCGCAAGCGCGTCGGTGACGATCTCCCGGATCTTCTCTGGGATCATCGGTTCGGGTACGGGCACCGGAATAGACGTGATCTGTGATTGGTGCATCTCAAGCGCGTCCTTGACGATGGATCGGATCTTCTCCAGCCTCCTGTCTTTTCCTCGAGATCGGTTACGGTAGTCAACGTCGGTGCCGGCATCGTCATCTTCGTCGTCGGCATCGCTGTCTAGACGTGCGCTAGTAGACATGCTACGGCGTCCGCGTCCCGGACGTTGCGACATCATTGCAAGCGCCTCTTGGATGCCTTGCAGGTTTTGCTCTAGCGGGCCAAGGCGGTCCTGCAGGAGACGACCCATGAGGTCATCAACATGTTTGTCGAAGAAGCCACTGCGGGTCTGAACCTTGGACTCGTCCTCAGTGAGGAGGCCTTCGTCCCAGTCGCTCATGGGTCCGGCGTCGGCGTTGTTCAGGTGGCGCACAGGCGAGTCGTATGGAAGCGCAGCTCGCTCATCATCGAATGGATCTTGCCCTGATGTTGCAGAGCCCTGCATAGGCCGTCCAGGGAAGAAACCGCGGCGGGGGCTGGGGCTAGGCGCGTCGCTGCGCATCTTGAAGCTGGGCTGCAGGTCATTGCGCTCAAACACATTCGGTGTCCTCTGGGGCGAGGATTGATCCCAGGAAGTCTCGTCGCGCTCAACGCCAAAGTCGGATCCTTCGCCGTCCATGTGCTTCATAACAGCATCAATGTCGTTGAAAGAAGCATCGCCAAGGTTGTCGAAATCAACGCTTTCACTCTCAGGGTAAGCCCTGTGCCTACCAGATTCCATGGCAGTCTTGAACGAGCCGTCGTCGCTAGGTCTGTAGGTGGTAGCTGGACTTCTGCTGGCGTATCTTGGTGGAGATACTTGAGTCTTCTCTGGGTCTTCGACCTGAGACGGCTTCTGAACGTGGAAGCCGAAGTCGTAGCCGGCACTGTTGAATTGAGGTTTGAACTCGAACGGTTTGGCGCTGGCCGATAGAGTGCTCTTGTGAGTATGCTTCTTACCCAATGGCTCAGGTTCCTCGGTGGTAGGTGTCGGCACGTCGCTTGCATGAGGCGTATCGTCATCTGCACCTTCATCGCTCTCTGGAGCCGGTGGAGCCGGTGAGATAGGTGCCATGACGATCTCTCGCTTCGGCTGTGACAGAGGCTCTGGGCTCTTTGATTGAGATTTGGTCTGCTTACGTGCAGGCGACAAGTTCTCCTTGTCCTCCAAAGCTTCCTCCCGTTCAACTTGAGGTTCCTGTTTAGCAGCATTGGGCTGCCTGATTTCGGCCAGAGGCTGAGACGCAAGCACAGGCTGAAGTGCAAACTTAGGCACGTCATCCGCATCAGGGCGATCACGTCGGACTCTCTTCTCACGACCGTCAGCTTGCTTAGGTCGGCCAGACTCGTCCTCGTGGCCCTCACGGCCTTCCGTCTCAGGGGTCTGCGAGCGTGTGTTGTCGGGACGGATAATCGGAACAGCGTTGGAACGCTTAGCTGGCTTGACGATGTCGCTCTGGGACAGATTGACATCTCCGAATATCTTTGATGAGAAGCTTGTTGGGGCGGGATCCGGCTTGTTGGGGTTGAAAGCTGATACACCGGGGTTGAACGCAGGCGCATCTGGCTTGAAGGCCGGTGGGCTTGAGAAGTTGAAGCCACCAGATGGGAATGGAGAGCTATCTGCAGCAGGCTTGAACGCAGGAGCTTCAGCCACGGGCTTGAATGTCGGTGCATCAGGTTTGAACACAGGCGCGTCGGGTTTGAACGCAGGAGCTGATACGTTGAAGTTCGCCAATCCATCGATACTAGGCTTGTTGTTGGCTGGAATGGCGGCAGGGGCGGCAACTGTAGGGGGCTTGACAGCAGGTGCGAAGCTGAAGCCTGAAGAGAAAGAACCTGGGCTGAAAGACGCTGCAGGATTGAACTTGAACTCCTTGGCTTCAACATTGAGCTTCGAGATAGAGGAGCGCGATGCATGTTTGCTGTGAATTGCTGATGCAGGCTTGCTGAAGGCGAACTTGTTGTCTTTCCAGGAGTTGTTGACTTGGGACGGGGCCTGGGAGTGCTGCGTGGAATCATGTACCGGATTACGGACTTCCCCATCTTCCAGGCTGGGGTTGGTGTTTTCCGAAACGTTCGTTTGTGCACCGTCGCTGTCTGAGCGGGGGTTCTGCTGAGCGGGGAACGAGAAGGCGACAGGCTTCTGAGACTTGGCGAGTGAATGCGCTCTGCTGTGTGGTTGAGGTTGGTGCAAGATCGTTCGCGAGTCCTCCCACGTAGGGTTAGCCACAGCATTAGAGGGCTTGTAGGATACGTTGGTCTCTGGCTCAGTACTGAAGTCTCCTCCTTCCGCAAATTGCTTGTCGATAGCTTCCTCCAAGTGATACTCTTCATTCGCTGCCTCGCGTTCAAGGTTCTCACTAATATTATGACGATGACCGCGAGGAGTCGGTACAGCAATCTCCGGTGCAGATTTAGTGGCATGCTTCATCGCCGGAACCTCGTCTTCCTCGTCTTCATCTTCGGGTACTTCGGCCAGTGTAGAGTTCGGTCGCAGTCCGAGAACTTGTTGCTGTTGCTGCTGTAGAAGCTGGTTCTGTAGTTGCTGCTGCTGCAGTTGTATCTGCAATTGGAAGTCATCCCTCTGCGTAGGCGTAATAGGGAACTGCTGGTTGGGACCCATGCCGAATGGAGAGTGCGGCGAGATCAATCCGGAAAGATCAGGCCTGCTCAAGGATGCAAGAGCAGGGGAGCCACTGCGTCCGTCTTGAGAGTTGAAGTATCCAGCAGGCGACCATGTGCCTGAGGGCGAGTATCCATGCGATGGAACAAAGTTGGCAGGTGATCCAAAAGTTGAGTGACGATGCATGTGCATACCGGGACGTGGACCTGCAAATGCTGGAGACGCGACCGATTGCCTGGACATGTGCCCAAATGCTGGAGATGCGACCGATTGCCTGGACATGTGCCCAGGTGAAGGTCCGAATGGAAAGGCGCCACCTGCAATGCTGCCGTGCCTGGCCATACGAAGACTGCCAGCTGAGGATGTAGGTATCGGTGGAGAGAAAACCTGTCCAGGGTGCTGCTGTGATGACGCTTGTCGTGACAAAGGAAGAGGAACGTCTTCCTCGCCACCAGTGCTGACACCGAGTGCTGCCAACTTAGCCTCGAGCAGAGAGTTCTGGTAGTCTTTCCATTCAGATTCCTTCGATACACGGACGGTGTATCGTGAACCTGCATTATTACGTTCTGCCTGAACATCGGCCTCTGCCGGCCAGATGGCTCGATTGTGCGTTTCTAGACCTCCGGTACTGAAGCCACGAGTGTCGTAACCCTGTTGCTCAAGCTGTCGGAGCTTTGCATTCACAGCCTCCGCACTCATCGGCTTCGGAGGGAACCCAGGATTGCCTCTCGGAATGTCGCGTGGTATCGAGATGATACAGCCTTTGCCTTTGACAATGACCTTCTTACGCATCCGAGGCTGCGCAGGCGCTGCGCCTGGGGGAGCCAGAAATGAGTTGCTCGGAGGGTCAGGTAGTGGCTTGTTCTTGGATAGATCCTGGCTTGCCTGGAATGCATCGTTGCTCGCTAGCTTGCTGGGAGTTTCATCTGCCGGCTTAGTTGCTTTCGTAGGTGTCGGTACTGGAGTCTTCTCAGACTGTGCACTGTGCCCGTTCATCTGCTGTGCAGTACTAGGACCTGATGCTGAGTTTTGCCTGACCGGAGACGGCTCAGGATCCGCATACTTGGAGGCCATCATCTTGCCGACTGCTTCTTTTTCTTCCTTGCTAAAGTGCCGCCAAAAGTCCTGCTGGTTCAGGGTCTTGTTGTTGTTCCTTTGCTTGTGTCCTCTTTTCGGCGGAGGGGCAATTGGCAAATCAGATTCTCCACCTGATCCTTCTGTATCGCTATTATTGTCCCGCCAGTCGTTTGTTTCGCGGTTCCAACGCTCTTCTAGGAATCGTTCAACCCACTCCTGCGAAGTAGGATTCGTGTCGGAAGCCCGGGGAGTAGTGCCGGAAGCTCGCGCTTCTTTGGTGGGCGTTACCAGATTTGGCAATCGAGATCGGATTAAGTGTTCGAGCGTGAAGCGGTTTGGCGATGCGTTCCGTTCCAAACGAGGTATTAGATGTTCGAGGTTGAATTGATTCGGCGACTCTTCCTGAAGATCTAGCCGAGATGGGAGTAGATGCCCAAGGCCAAACTGGAGCCCAGAAGCCTCTTCTTCAAACTCGTCGCTGCCGAAGTTTGTCGAAACTTGACGCGAGGGATTGAATACCGGAGGAGGGTGTCGGTACGGACTGCCCCAGCTGGCGGTATAGTAGGACGTGTCGGTTCTGTCGTGCCTCGCAGCGTTGGAGGGAGTACGCGGGTGGTTTCCAAGTACGGAGAAGGACGGAAGTGAAGGGAGCTCTGGACTCGAATGTCCAAGAGTGCGAGCCGGCGAAGGGGCCGTCCAAGTGGGAGAGACTGCTTCACGCGCCTCAGGCGGAGTGGTCGCTTCACCAAAGTGCCCTGGAGCAAATGGAGGAGGTGATGAGGGCGGATGCTGCGAGGACGAGATGGACCGTCGAGCTTGCATTCAAGGGTTTCCCACGCTGTACAGCTCGATGGGCTGCAACTCTTCTTTTTCCGTCTCGGATGCTTCGCGCGTCAGTGATGCGACAAAACTTCCGACGATGTTGAAGTCAGTGCTCGGGGCAAAGGAACGCGTGTTTGGACAGTCTCGCGCGAAGGCCGCTCGGTGACGCAGTACGATTAGAAGGTGATATTACAAGGAAAGGCTGTTGGCAAGTAGCTAAAAGAGCGACATAAGGTGGGATAGCACGATTCTGGAGACAACAGGACGAGCAAACATCCCGAGGCAGCAGCAACAACGGATGAAGAAGTGGCAGTCAAAGGCGTGCCAGTGTCGTCGACGACAAATTGTGGACACGGACAGGAGAGCAGGCGAGGCTAAAGTCAGCCATATTAGCGGGATGCTGCCAGTTGGCGTCAGGGGGCTTTACGCCGAGGCCACATGGGAACAAAGCACGCGAATTCTGCACCCTGACGGCATGCACCAACACCAACAACACGCTCGGAGAAGTTCGTTCGCCATCGTCACTAGGCTTTCCACGTGTCTTCGTGTGAGAAATCTGCTTTTGTCCCTCGCATCACACCTCAGGGTCGTGTCGGCGCGTCCAAAGTCATCTGCTAACACTAACCACGACATTCAGACATGACATGGGTGCCTCAATGCCGGGAATGACCCTCGTAGCCAATCGCGTACCGGCACGTCATATTTGAATGCGTCAGTAGGAGCTGGTAACGACTGGACGACAAATCTTGCTACCCCGCTGCAGACCTACCCGACCTTCCAACATTGCAGCCCTGGAGAGATTCCGTCATCCATACGCGTTGCACGTCCTCACGACATCTTCTTGGACGCGACCAGCATGATGCAGCGACACCGAGAAAGGGGACCTGACTAGTGATTAGACAACGGGAGCTAATGCTGCGGTGCAAGGATAGCGATGCCTGCTTAAGCCCCCATTTCGCATGCTTCTAGAAACTCCTTCAACCACCAGTTTGCGGCCAGACAAGCCACAGAAAAAAAAGCATCGTGTTCTTCGATGTTTCACCTGTAGCAGCTGGAGGTGGATGTACTGGACGGCGAGAAATCTATGAACTTGGATCTTGTAACGCATATACACGCAACACGTGAGTGTGCTGTGAACCGTACTTGAGCTGGATCTTTGGCTAGCCTGCGTTCATCCGTTCCGTGCAGCTCCAGATTTCCGCATCTTAACCCATTATTCAGGAGCCATAGGAGGATGGCAACATGTTCATCCTCAAGGAGAGGCAATGCACATGCTACTTGGAAAGTCAGTACAACACACGTCTCTTTCAGGCTGTGGGGTGTTCTGTCAACAGTCTAGAGCTCAAAATCATGGAGGACGCTATAGAGAGATACTGGATAAACTCGTTTATTTGGAGGGAAAAAATAGGATGCCATGTGTGCGTACCCTGATTAACGCCTCGGAAAGACAAAGGGTGTTCTGAAGGATGTAGACAACACGCATCAGTTCGGGGGGCCGCGCTACAGATTGGCAGCTTGTGTACATGTCATGATTATTATCACTTAAACCTGAGTGTTGTATATAACGCGCGTATAAGGCCAGATGAAGTAATACAATGCACGTCGTTAGTGCCGTACCAACATACTTCCTCCTATGCTTGAACTTTGCAACTCTTGTGACATGGCCTCAAACTTTTTGAATCATGAACATCCTCTTCACAAACGAGCTTCTTTGGAAGCTCTCGGCTTCAGCAGGAGTTAGCTCGACGTCGCCCTTTGCAGCTGCCGCAGCATTCTCTTCGTCTTCTCCAATCTTCCATGTTCTCACCATCCACAAGCAGACTGCAGCACCAATGTACATCCACCCCGTAAACAAAATAGCTCCAGTATAGCTCCCTCCATTAAACGCTACGATTTCAAGACCAATAGGCTCGGAGACTGCATCCATGTTAGTAAGCTGCTCCATGCAATTGAACCCACAACTACTCAAGACTTACAAGTAGTAGGCAACACAAGTACCAACCAAGTAATACTCAACGCACTCGGCAAATCTCTCAGCCCCATAACCTCCGTCGTAACTGGCGCAGCCGTCGCCCAAAACGTCCCTGCCACCATACCACCCACCAGACTGAAAAAGATCAATACTCCAAAGCTCTTTGCAAAGATCCATATCAGCAGACAAAACACCCCAACAAGGAACGTCATGCTCCCCGCCATGTTCAATCTGCCAATGGAATCGGAAAAATAGCCAATCGGTGGTCTTCCCAATGCTTGCCCCAGATTGAACACTGCACCAATAATACTTCCCTGCTGCGCACTCAACCCAATTGTCCGAGCGTAACTCGGTAAACTGAAGAGTAAAACAATGTACCCCAGCATACTCAGGAATCCGAACGCCAACAGTCCCACAAACTGCGGTTTCGCAAACAGTGTATAGTCGAAACTGAGCTGGCTGGATCCAATCTGCTTATTTCGGTCTTTGATAAGCATTGCACATGCACTATTGACGACGAAAGCAATGACAGCCAGTGTACGAAACGCCCACGGTAGGCCAATATCGCGAATCATAGCCTGAGCAGCAAGACTGTAGATGAGCCCACCAAGCCCACTCCCAGCAGCACAACACCCATTAGCGAGCGATCTGTGTGTAGTAAACCACTGCGCAGCAATGCCCACGCTGCCTACGAACAGAAACCCCATCCCCCACCCAAAACACACACCCTGACTCAAAAACAAGTGCCAGATCTCACTCGCAAAACTGGCTCCGATGAAGCTCACCGTCTCGAATCCCACACCGATAAATAGGGTAGTGCGCGTCCCCCATCTTCTCGTCGTTAAAGTAGCTACTGGGGAAACGATGAGGGCTTGAGATATGGAGAGCCCACCGATGAAGGCGTATTGCAGAGGTGTGGCACCAGGGAAGGCGGAGGTGGAAAGGTAGTGGGCGAGGAAGACGGCGTAGGCGGAATTGAGGCCCCAGGTGTGGCCGTTTATTGTTGCGACGGCTGCTACGCATACCCAGCCGTAGCCACCATTTGGGGGTACGTCGACGACAGGTTGGCCTGCTGACGGGGCGGTGGCATTAGCTGGAGATTGAGGTGAGCAGGGTTTCGAGATCGCGTTGTTCTTCATGGCTTCGTTTCGGTTGGTTGCGTGAAGTTGAATGCTAGGCTGTGGGCTTTGGTTGCTTTGGCTCTTTTCTGATGTCCGGATGCCATTCTCTGTATCCTGATTGTTTCCCTCCTCTTTCCCACGCTGCGCTGTATCCAGCATCATCCTCAAACGTTCTAATTCTTGATCCCGAGTTCCTATCCCGAGCTCTTGTCTCCGTTCCTGTACCGGAAATAACACGCCAAACAATCCTGCAGCGGCCACTCTTTCACTATGCGACGTCACCTGGAGATCTTAAACGTCAATGTAGGTGCAAAGGCCATTTTACGAACGCGTAGAGAGTAACTAAGAGTCACCATGTCGCCTTCCCGAGGTCAAGAGGAGGAAAGAAAAGTGGAGGTTGACATCCTACGCCCTTGTCCGGAAATAACCCCATAACAGGCGAGCTTTTACGTGACGCTCTAGACGCCACTTCCTCTTTCGGCTAATGTAGCCGCGGATGACTGGTCGAGAGAGGCAAGCGGCTTGGTTGCGGTCATTGAGGCTTGCAGGTCTGGAGAAGGTGATGCGGTCGCCGGCATCGGCTATTGTGTTCAAGATCCGTGCCGATAATTTGGAAGGGAACTGTAGCTGTGTTTACCACTTCGTGAAAGCTTTGAACCCCCCTGTCGAGTGTCATTTAATTTATTGATTCGTTAATACATAGGAGAGGAAATGCCATTCCACAATCTAAACCAAAAGGTATCATCATATCATCAACGCCTTCCCCAATCCACTATCACGCTCCACACTGAGCCATGAATCTATACATGCCATCAGAACTTTGGTATTCCAACGGCGCATGCATGTCCATTTCGTCAGCCTCACTGGTGTGCAAGCTTTCATAGTCGGATAACCAAGGGTTAGGCTCCTCGGTTGCGAAGTCGTCGATCTGTTCGTAACTTTGTTCGGAATGCGTCGAGAAGCATTCTGAAGCAGCGGGTGATGCAGAGAGCATGTGTGTCCAGTCAATGTTAGGCTGGACATGTTGACGCTCAGCAACGGGTTTCTCATAGAAGGAACATTCAGACGGTGTCTGACTGGGTGCAAATGGGAAGAGAAGCGCGATATCGGTGCCGACGAAAGAGTCAAAGTCCTCGTCTTGGTATACTGAGCCACGTGAGACTTCAAAATCGTTACATATCGTCTCGACGGTTTGCGCATCGCAGCCTGGGAAGTGAACTTTGAGCACCGAGCTTTCGTATGATATCGGAAGGTCGCCTAATGCCGCTAATCGTTGCAGATCTTTGAGAACGGCTGCAAGCTCCTTGACGGACCTTGAAAAGTCGACGGATAGAACATCGAGGAGACCCTCGCTGTTCAGTGTCTCCTTCTCTTGTGCGAACGAGGTGAAGCCCTTGACAGCCTTCAGGGGGGTAAGAGCGGTGACGGTGGGGTTAACGTTGAAGCTGATGTAGGATCCAGGTGTGGCCTTAGGAACCTTGTTCAGCGTGCGGTTGACCTGATCCTGCAGCGCCGATACAGTCTTGAAGCGCTTCTCGCCGTTGTGTGGGTTGACGCCATCGAATTGGGCCTTTTGTCCACCAACGAGGAACGCTCTGACGGCCTGAGACACGTTGTTGATAACCTGGGCTGGAGATGCAGGGCCATGCGAAAAGTACCTGGCGCCTCCGGCCCTCCCGGAGCCCCATCCGTAGCCTCCTGCTGTTCGTCCAAGCGTGCCTCCGGTGAGGTTGGGGCGAAGGGTCGACGCAAAGGGTGCGCGGCCGGCCTGAGCGGTAACGATGCCTCCGATACGTGACTTGGGGAAAGAGGCCTTGTCGTACTTCACGCCTGAGTTGCGAGCAGCAGACGTGGTAAAGCGTCGAACGGCAGCGCTGATCTGGCTATGGGTGGTGTACCAACGGCCCTTGCTTTGCTTGAGGTAGGCAATACGGTGGAGAGGGTGCTTCGGAGCATTTCGAGCGAGGATGGGTTGCAGTACCGCATCTGTAGGTTGTGCGGATTCTGGTAGTCGTTTCTGTACGAGTTTCGCAGCATGTTTCCAGGCGGCCCTTTGTCTGTCAATACGCGACCTGATCAAATGGTACCATGAACTTACTTGAACGCTCTCGCGTTCTTGGCCACCGAATTGTATAGGTGCACCACGGCAGGTGCCATGATGGTTGTGTGCTACCAGGAGAGGAGAGTGGTGATGCTCAGAAGGATGATGGGGAACGCGGCGATAATGAGGCGCAGGCACCAGGGTCAAGTCGCCACCCAGCGGGGGATTGGTCCAGAACCCCGGGCGATGACGACGATCACATGCCAGCTCACTCACCGACTGGTCCGCGACCAGACTTCGTTTCAGCTATGCCAAGACTCTTCTTCAAGCATAATTCTGTGTTCGCAGCGCTGCGGGTTGGCACTGTGAATGCTTCACCCTGTATGACCGCATCGCTCTGCGATACCTGGAAGATCAAGACAAGACTTCACCAGATGCATCTGCTGTAGAGTTACCAGGAACAGAGGTATTCATTTCAGTACTTTTACAAAGCAAAAGCCACACTCACGGACCTTAACAGCCGCTTTTGGTATACTTTGCTGTATGGGAACAAGGCACCTAAGCAACCCATATCCACCTGCAAGTAAGGTAAGAACAGGCGTACCGCTTTGTGCCTGAGGGGAGAGAAAGCAGCCAGCGGATTTTTTGTATGCTGGAGTGGATGACCATGCAAAATAGACAAACAAGAACGCCAGCTTTCAATGCTATGGAGGACCCCTAGATTCAGGAGGAAAGGGTAAAAAGCCAGATTCCTGAAGGGTATTGTGTTCGTATTGGGGACTGGTAATTCGTGGAAACATCAAGGAAAAAAACTCAAAGACGCAAGAGATTTCTATCGGGGAAAAACAGTTGATCGACCGCCGACCGGGTAGTAAACGCCAGAACATGAACTTTTGTCAATGTATACAGAGTCCGAGAACTCGCAAGGAGAAAATTTTGGAAGCAACAAGACCGAAGACCGCAACGAAGAGATGCAAAAAAACCTTAACTCGTTATGACATGGTTGCCGTAGCCCTTGTGCAGGATCATGGCGGTGTCAACAGAGCCAAGGTATCAGCATCAAGCAAATCGTCAATTCGCTGTCGACTTTGAGGGTCCATACCACCGCTGCGATAAGCTGCTTTCAGCTGGTCGAAAGCTGGACGGCGCTCGTCCTCGGTCTTGATAAGCTCAACAAAGTCTGAAGCTACCCGCTGTCGGATCGCGCCTTGTGGCGAAAGCAAAGACTCGCCGTAAAACTCGATAAGATTGGAAATGCCGGTGTCTGTGCTCCGATGGGCGGCGTCTTCGAAAGCCAAATGGCGGAACTCGTCATACATCGATTGATTGAAATTCCGAATCAAGAAATGTGACCAGAATTGGTAAAGAACGTTCATGTCGTAAGGGGTTGTGCCGAGTGGTGCGTTTGAACGCTGATAAAGAGCTTTGGATCGAAGATGATAATACGATTCGTGCGATGAATCAGAAGGAATTGTATGAACTGGGCTGTGATGATCTTTGACCCAATAGAGGCGGACAGGCGCAGACAGGGAAGTCGATTCTGAGGGGTCGGTGACGGTTGGCGGGCGATCAAGATGGCTCTCAGCGCTACTAGTAATGTGATCAGCTCGTACATCCAGTCTCTCTAAATTGCCATCTTACCCATCAGGTGTTCCGACACCGCTAACCCTCATTTGGCAGGTAATCGACTTCTCCGGTTCATCTGGCACGCCATGTTTACTATCGATGGAGCCATTAGAAAATGTTCGTGAAACAGAAGGAGGCAACGCTTGGGTCCGTTGCTTGCGCATAACGACTGTCAAGCTGTCGAGTTGCAAGTCAGAAAATGAATCAGGTTCTCCACTCACAGCCTTTGTCGAGCTCTCGATCGGTTGACCGTTCGAGACGGCCGCATTTGGTTCTTCAACAGCCGCGCCGTTTGTCTCCGCCGGTACAGATCCAGAATCCTGGGAAACGGGATGGAAGCCATTCATCTGAGGGTACACGCCCTCGTTTCCAAATGGGCTAAAAGCTGGGGGCATGCCCGACCACTGAGGAGGCTTGGACGGGTCAAAGCCAGCAGGGTGAGAAACCTGAGGTTTGTTGAGCTCCTTAGGCCCCTCGTTCTGTGCAGACGGATCACGCTCGGCCATATCAAGAACCCACTGTGCCCAGTTGTCCTTGCGACGTAGTCGGTCTTGACCGTTCTCGGTGGTACGGTACTCGATGGAGGCAGACTGCTGGCAAACAAGCCTGATCACGTCGATGTCAGGGGATAGATTCTTGATACGATTGAAGCCAGCAATGAACTCAAGAGCGACAAATCCCTGTGAATCCATGTGACGACGAAGGTACATGTCCTTGAGCAGGTTATCAACAGAGAAGTAGTATTCCCTGGCAAATTGTTAGCACAGACTTTTTGGTCAAAAAATTCAGAACATACACTTGGGCAGTAATCATGGAGAAGATCTGGTACTGGTCAACGCCGTATGGACTGTACGGTAGTCCAGCGCTCATAGGTGCAGGAGCCATGCCGTAGGGGTACATATCATGGCCCGTCTGGATGGGAGCCGGGTACCCAGGCTGGAAAGATTGATACCTGTATGGGTCGGTAGTCAAAGACTGTGATCGATGGCTGTTGCGACCGTATTTACCCTGAGGCGCGGGGAAGAAGCTGTTGCTCTCAGGAACAAAGGTTGTGGGTGATCGTGGACCTAGGGGAAAGCTCGACGTAGAGTGTCCGTTGGTGAAGTGATGTCCATTGGTGTACGCTCCACCACGACCGCGACCTCCACGGCCGCGACCTTCGCGACCACTAGAGAAGGAGCTGAAGCGCTTGGAATGGCCATGCGCAGAGCCGTCCTGGTAGGCGGGAGCTCTGCGCTCACCATTCTCAGCAGTGTCTGTCTGCGTTCCAGCAGAACGCTCACCCCAGGTGTTATCCTTGGTGGGTGAGGATGCGCCATCTCTCCTTCGCTCTCCGGCACCGTGGAATTCGCCTCGGCGGCCCTTGTGGGGCTTGTTAGGGTACTGGCGCTGGTAGGCACCGTTTTGAGCGGGCGCGCCGGACAAGGACGACCTCCTTGGCTGCGCCTCGGACTCGGAGGATACAGGGCCATTGGCCTTAGCAGCGCTGTCTCCATTAACTGCAGGCGCCTGACCGTTCATCGTAGGTGAGTCGGTGCGCTTCGTCTTTGGGGAAGCATCCTGTGCAGCCGACTTCTGCTCGCCATTTAGTGCCTCGGTCTGTTCAGCACCGTTGGTGCCGAAGCCAGCAGGCCTGCCGTTGCTCGGCGCTCCACCACGTCCTCCAGGTCGGCCACCTCTCCTAGCACCTGCCGCATTTGGCAGAGGTGTGTTGAACACAACAGTCGGTGTGTATGGGATTTTCACCCACTCATGTTTGCTGGTCGAAGCGCCATCCTTTGGCTTCTGCTCAGTCTTTTCCTTCTCTTGGGCCTTCTTACGGTCCTCATCGATGACGGTCTCAGGAGTCGGCCAGGATTCCTGGTCTCGGTCTGGTGGAGGCGGTAGCGCGCCCGATGATGGGGCAGCCTTGACATCCTTCTCAGAGAATCTGCCTTTGGCACCATTCCGCACGTCAACGTCACCTCGGAATTCCTTTCGGCCTTTGCTTCTGCTCTCGCCATTTGTGATCTTCTCTTGAGATGTTGCGTCGCCCTTCTTGGTCTGGACTCCGTTAGGAGTTGTGGAAGGAGCGACCTTCTGCACTTGGGACTTGATCGAGTCTGCTCGTATTTTCCAGGGGTTCACGGTAGGTACAGGCGCCTCTTGAAGGGGCTTAGCCGGGACATTCTTTGCCTTCTTGACCTTGTCAGAAGTCTTCTCGACAGGCTCAACCGACTTGTCAACAGAAGTGGAGGCCTGGGACTTGTTGTCCCAGGTGGTCGACTCAGAGGAAGCGTTTGGTATCGAGGAAACATCGTCGTCCTTGGTGACGGTTGATGAGGTGGAGGAGGCGAGATCCGGCGAGGATTCGTTGGAGGCATCTACAGGCTGTGAAGTTTTGACCGCGTTGGGAACGGTTTGTTCTGGTTGCGCCTCCTGGGCTTTGGCGGGTTGCGCAGGGCGCGGCTCAGACTCGACATCTTCGGCCCAGTTGCTGGGTGAGGCAGTGGCTTCTTGACCAGATGCGCTGTTGCCCTCTTTGGCTGGGGTAGCAGAGCCGGATGCCGACTTGCTTGTGGTCGCTGGCGTGGAGACGCCTTTCGCGGCTTGCGCGTATGAAAATGTAGACATGTTGGTCTGTGTGTGAGTCTCGAATAAAGTCCGGCTGGTTAGACGAGAGTAAGCGCTTAGAATCCCCGATGGGAGCGCTGCGGCAAGCTGGCCAACAGGTGTCGACGCTGATATGTCCGGAGAGGTGTTTTTGGCCTCCCCGCACGTAAACTCTTTTGTCGCTACCAGGGCCTTGTGTTGGCGACTAAGCGATGTTGCGGCGATGCGGCTCTGCAGTGGTGGAGAGCTAGGTAGTGTGCTGAACGACGGCTCGGTACTGTGGCTGTCTCACACGATGTGAGGAAAGTGAATGCTTCCTATTTCACTGCTGGGAGTGGAACAGTGTTTGCGCGTACTGTAGTGGCTGGCGTTAGCGAAGAAAAGAAGCGCAGGAAAAAATTAGGTGAGTAGGATTCAAGGCGTGGTGGTGGAGGCAAGTGATGTATGTGGGCAGTGGTAGGTCTGGGAGCGCACAAGAAGTCGAAATGACTGCGTGGGCGGGCCAGATGCAAACGGGAAGGAGTGCGAATTTATCACACAAGGCTATTGGAAGGGTCTTGGAAGCGGCAAGAGGAAAAAATCATGCGCAAAGTGCCCAGCGAACTCGAGGCGGGGAGCAAGCAGGTAGCAAGCATGCGGCGGACGTGGGCGGTAAGGTGCGCAGAACTAACCTCTGGGGTGAGCCTTGACTGACTGCGGGGTTGGTGGTCGCGGAGAAGGGGCAGAGAAGGCTACGTCGGCGGAACCAGAGTGCTGCTCGGCGGGTGGTAGGTGGATAATGAGGGTTGGAGGGTGCAATGAGGTACGGGCTCCAGGCACACCAAGGTCGAGTTACAGGCTTGTGTAACGTGCAAGCAGCAATCACGGAGCGGGCTGAGGCGGCGTCTGAGGGTCGTATGCGACGTGATCAAGGCAGACGGGGCGCCAGGAAAGAAAATTGGCTGTCGTGTGTGCGGGAGAAGCAAGCGCAGGTGGGAGGAAGAGGGTCACTTTCAAGCGCGAATTTTTCTTTCGTTAAGGTGGTGCTCTAGAGAACCCGACAGCCCACGCTACTTCGGCGCATTCACCACTCCCTCGCCCAGTTCCCGAGAGCGGCCGTCCAGTGACTAGCAGATGACGTGCGGCTTGCACGCTTTATGAAAGTACTTATGCTGGCAACCCTCTGCGGCCGCCGTGGTTCTGCGTTTGCTTTCCACCATTTCAGTTCGACGCGCTCCAACACGCCAATGACGTCTCGCGAACCCCATCGACCCCTCATTTGCAAAAGGTAGTTTTATACATGGCTGCCTGCACTTCAACAAAACAGCCAGTTCCACCGGCTGGCCGTTCCCGTGCACCTGCTTACCTCCAATCTTGGGCTTCGGCCGCCTCCTCGGTGAGGGCCGTGTCGTGCCGGCACTTTCACGTTCCTCTGCCAATGGCCGGCACCACGAGCGAGCCATCTACGGATCCTTGTGCCCTACGGGAAAACGGAATTGCGGCCATTGACCTTTCCGAATCCTGCCGGGAGCTCCAAACCAGCCCGTATTGTTTGTCTGCAATATACAAGCCTTCATTCTTATGCCTGGCCAACTAGGCCTCAACTGTCCACCTTCTCCGCTCCATCAGGAGCACCACCATGTCTTCCCACACTCTAGCCGCTGCATCCAGTACATCGGTACTGATAAGCTGCGAATGCTAATCCCGTTGGACGCGTGTTAACTCTTTGTAGCAAGACCAAGGCGCCTGATGCTGCACGTCAACGTGGATATGACCTTCATGCCGCGAGGCTTGGACATGCGAATATCCTATCACCGCCACACTTTCATGAGGCTTGTTGCATGCGCCTCGGCAGCCCCATGTTTCATATATCCGACATTGATTCCAAACAAATTCTGAGCCTTGTCGGCTACTTTCGGCCTTCTCCGTTGCACGTCTATATTAAACCTGCGATCTGCCTTGATGCAGCTTGCAGAACCTTGGACGGTGGCTGGGATCTCACAGCGTTTAAACAAGTCCGAATCAACAACCGACGATTACAATTCGCACCATCCATAATCCCGGTACAGGCTGCCTCGCCCCGACCCGCGATTACCTCAGACCAAATAAATTTCCAATAATAGTTACCTCACCCAATCAAGTCTGAGGAATACGAACGTGACCATCAATGAGCACTATATCTAGGACCTCTTAGTATCAATTGCACCCCCTCAAGACTATATTCTGCACGCAGAAGAATCACAGGCCACCTAGATAGTATCCACGAGCGCTATAACATGGTTGGCAAGCGAGTGAGCCAGGCAAGCGAGTGAGCCACCCCACCAACTTTGCGCAACCTACGACCTCAAATCACTTATAGCTCTACCTACCCCAACTCAAAACGCCTCTCGTGAGGCTGATATAAACCTTGCAATCTTAGCTCTTAGTACAAGTCAAATTCAGACTAAGAGACGCGCTGCAGCAACGTTTGAAGTCTCTCGCGCTACCCTCCACCGCCGACGCGCTGGTAAACCCGCCCGACGCGATTGCCAGCCCAACTCAAAGAAGCTCACCCAGCTAGAGGAGCAGGTAATTGTTAGCTATATACTTGATCTAGATCTACGTGGATTTTCACCTACGTACACAGCTGTACGTGATATGGCTGATAAGCTGCTCGCTGCGCGCGGCGCAGGCCAGGTTGGACAGAAGTGGCCAGCCAACTTCGTCAAGCGTACAGACAGTCTCACGACGTGTTTCAACCGAGCGTACGATAGGCAGAGAGCTCTGTGCGAAGATCCAGTCCTAATCAGCGCCTGGTTTGAGCTCGTAGAGCAGACAAAGGCCAAGTACGGCATCTGCGATAATGACGTCTACAACTTTAACGAAGCTGGCTTTATGATAGGCAAGATCACGACTCAGCTTGTCGTGACAGCGTCAGAGAGGAGAGGTAGGCCAAAGGCTATCCAGCCTGGTAATCGCGAGTGGGTAACGTTGATCGCTGCGATCAACGCTGCTGGCTGGTCAGTCCCACCATTCCT